CACACACACACACACACACACACACACACACACACACACACACACACTTACCCTGAGTAATTTGCTTTGGAGCCACACCCTGCTACTCACTATGACCCCTGCTTCTTCATGCTCATTCATGCATCCTTGTCCTTTGCTCATACTGATTCCTGGACTCATGGACTCAGGGTCTTTCTCTACCAGGACATTAGTTAATTGTCTCCTTTAAAAGGAATCACTGACTCACTTATCTCATTGGCAAAGTGAAAGTCAATAGTATGAAAATAGGAAACCAACCTCAGACACTTCAGAAAGAGGAACTTTTGATGGTCCCCAGAAAAATGGAAAAGGGTGGGACATAGCAAGTAGAGGATGGATCTCCACACCAGCATTCTGTCTCCTAAAGATCTGAATGAGAGAATATGAGTTTTTCTGTCTGTCTCCTAAAGATCTGAATGAGAGAATGAGGTTTTTTTTTTAATCTGAAAATAAAAACAAACAGTGTAGATTTTAGGATTACCAAAGCCCCTTGATCGCCAATGTTCTTTCTTTTTTTTTTTTCCTCTGTGATGCTGGGGATGGAACTTAGAACCTCACAAATTTCAGGCAAGTCTCCTCCCCAAAACTATACCCTCAGTTTCGTGGAATCTTTGATGTGGGCTGATGGTTTCAAATCTCATTTTGCTCACATTTTGCATTGACTCGTGGTCTCCTGTGGGTTTGATGCTCCTCGGCTTAAAGTGTGGTTAATTCCTTCAAAACCTTCACTCAGTAAGTTAAAAGCATCCTAGCTGGAACCTGCCAACCCCATCAGTTTAGCAGCACTGCCCATTGCATGCCTTCTGTCCCACTGTAAGCATGGGACTCAAGGAGCTGCAGCTCAGAGTCCGCACTCAGCATCAAGAGAATCAGGTTTCCTCTCACTGGCCCAAAGGAACATTCAAATCCAGAAAATACAGTATGTGCTCAATGAGTATCACATTGTGACCACAGTCAAGTAAAAGAACTCATTAAATCAAGTCCTGGAAAACTGGGCACGATGTGTGGGGGCGACCCAGTCAGATTTGGTCAAATTCTAAGAATAACAACCTTTGCTAGAACCATCCAGGAAAGAAAAGCGGGATGCGTTTAGGGCATGGTGTCCTCCTTCATTTGACCACCAAAGCATAGCAAGACTTGACAGCTAATCTGGAAGGCGTTTTGTTTTTGTTTGTTTGTTTGTTTGTTTTTTGTTTTTTTTTAAGGATGCTTGTCTGTTTCTACATCAGTCCCCCACACAGGGTCTCTTCTGTCCTCACAGCCTTAGCCAGAGTTGTTACTCGCCCCATCTTCTGCAGCACATGCCTCGGAGCTTCCAAGCTCCAAATGGAGCAGATAATATGCACTGGCCACCTTGCAAAATTAAGAGTCTGTTTTTCTATACAAAAGGAAAGATTGTCCCTCATTTCAGAGCTGCAACTTTAATAACCTTTTCAAAGATTGAGAGTTATGTTGGAGAAAATCCAGGGGGAGGCAAAGGTTCCATGCCAAAGTAAAGGTAAGTTTACAAAAATGTTTTAGGTTCTAGAAACCAGTGGTGTAGGAATAACAGGAATGGGGGTTGCATAATATTTTCCATATAAATATTTACTGACTCCAAGGGCAATAGCAGTAAAATATCACCCCAGGGTGAAACTTACTGCTGAGACTGGGATGGACCGTCTGTGGACCTTTGTTTACCTTAAGGCAAACACAATTGATGTATTAGCCTGGGGTCTCCCAGGGGGATGTTGTGTGTTATTTGCTTTTGTGAGGTTGCTTCGCCTGGACTGTCCTGTAGCTGCTGCATGCTTGCTGTTTTACAGAGTTTGCTTTTTCCAGGAGAGAGCCAGAAGTCTGTAGAAACATGGAGGGTTACATAATGCTCCCACTAGTCTGAAGACAGCCTTCTCTATCAAGGGTCAGACCTTGATAGGGAAGTAGAGGACAGGCAAGAGTGATGTGTTTTTGCACCCACCTATGACTCATTTGTGGAATTAAAACACACACACACACACACACACACACACACACACACACTATAGTTTGTTTTTAGTTGATAAGAAACTGTTGCCCCCTTCCTGGATAAAAATAGTTCCATATCCAGTCCCTTGGGGCTATGATTGATTTTTCTAGTTGCATACTTTTGAGAAATAATCATACTGAAGTCATTCCTAATGCTTATAAGTTTAAGCTGAATAGTTCTAACAGCAAAGTAGATACATCCTAAATAATCAGGTATATAGTCATGTTGCCAACAGAATGTTGTGTGTGTGTGTAAGCATGTGTGTAGTTTGTAGACTCTTCTCATGCCCAAGGCTACAGACACTTAGATATAGTCAATGATACTCTGATTGATAAAACTTTCAGTTAAAATAGTGGTGAAGCCTCATTGTTTGCTCCAAATACAGGCCTTTAATAGATCTGGTATAAAAGGAAGAAATCAAAATTGTATACCAACAGCAAACTCACGAAAACAGCTATACAAGCTTGCAACAGAGCGGAGTATGACTTGATGAGAAAATAGGCCCTGTGGGGTCTCTCTGCAGACTCGGTATAGTTACAGCAAACGAGCGTTCGGTTCATATGGGGAAGAGAAAGGAGAAAGGAAGGGGAGGAAGAAGAGGAAGAGGATGACAGAGAGAATGAGAAGTAGAATCTTACACTTCCTTCAAATTTCACCCAAAAGTTGAAATTCCGAAGCTCAAGAGGAAATCTAATACAAATGAAAATAGTCAACAGACTCAACGTCTGGGAGATACGTTTTTTGAGTGAACTTGTTTTCCGCTGATAATGGACAAATACATTGAATGTCAGGAGAGTATAAAAACAGATCTACTGTTACTCCGAGCTGAATGGTTGTGCACTTACCTGGCACGTGGGAAACCTTTGAGTCAGCAATGCAGTAACACACGCAGTCAATGCATTGTGGGTAATTACTGTATGTCCACTTCAGCATTTAACTACTGCTAATGCTGCATCTCACGGTGGACAGGTTTGTCCCTTACCGCTTAAACCTTTCTGGTCTTATTTCACTTTGTGAAATTCCTTATTTTTCTTTTTTGCATTACAAAACGCCCTGGAGTCAGCATCCTTTCAACGTCCATTGTAAGCATTTTTAAATTGTTCACTCCTGACGTATCTCTGTGCTAACTTGTTAAGAATTCATGTTCCCTAAAACTCAAATCTCCACAAGTAAAATAACCATAGCACACAACATCTCACTAATCAGATGGGCAAAGACTTTTATAGATGGTGTTCTCCAGGAGTCGGGAAATGGGGCGTGTAAGCTTCGGTTGGGCGTGTAAGCTGCAAGAATCTTCACCCAAGTAACTTGGCGATATGAATCAAATGCTGCTGCTGTAGTTTTCATTTTTCCAGCTGTTTCCCTAGGAAACTTGATTTTTCCCAAGATCTTATTAGAAAAGAATCACATTATATATGTGCTGTAAGTCCAATCCTAACATAAAGGAATTTTCTCAAGGATATTACAAATAATGAATCCAGGTGCCCTGAAGATTTTCTGAGATGTGTTTGTAAGCATTTAAAACCTCTTTTGCCGACTCTGTAAATCATCTTTGCACTGGGACTCAAAAACAAGTCAAGCTTTTAGTTTTGATTGGATGGTGGCAGGGAGGATGGGGAAAAAAACAACTTGCTCCCTGTCACTCAGGACCCTGCCAGACAAGTGAGATCTTTAGCCACATCCCCGGCATTTCATCCCTTTAAATATCATGTCTCTGTGTTTTAATCAAATGTATTTGTGGAGATACCACAGTGTGGAGCCCGTTAGAGGAATAAGGTCTAGTTTAGTGGTTCTCAACTTCCCCTAATGCCTTTAATACAGTCCCTCATGCTGTTGTGGTCCCCAACCATAAAATTATTTTGTTGCTACTTCATAACTGTAATTTTGCTATTGTTATGAATCATGATATAAATATCTGATGTGCTGCTAAATGGGGTCGCGACCCACACATTGAGAAGCATTTGTCTAGAGGTCCAGCGAGGCGCTTGAGGTGATCTGTGATTGTTGTGTTTTACCTCATTGCAAGGTTCGCCTTTTCTCAGTTGCTTTTGCCTTTTCCCCCACTTGGCTTTTGATCCAGATGGCACATGGGCTCTTGGGGACCCTGCTCAGCTCCGTGTGGTGTTGGAATCCAGACCCGAGATGTATACTGCCTCCATCCTGAGGAATCACCAGCCGCTCCGGAGGAATGTAGAGAGGAGAAGCCTCATGCCTTACGAGCCTGCAATCAGTTTGACTGCCCTCCTAGCTGGTACATTGAAGAGTGGCAGCAGGTACAGCAGCCTGGCAGTCCGTGGCCCATTCTGCTTATGGCGGCGGCGGCAGCTGCTTTGCATTAACAGACAGTAAGCCTCCCGCTTCACTGTCTCTTTTCTTAGTGTTCCAGGACATGTGGCGGGGGAACTCAGACCCGGAGAGTCACCTGTCGCCAGCTGTTAACGGATGGCAGCTTTTTGAATCTGTCAGATGAACTGTGCCAAGGACCCAAGGCATCGTCTCATAAGTCGTGTGCGAGGACAGACTGCCCCCCACAGCTGACTGCTGGAAACTGGTCAAAGGTAAGAGCCATTTCCGACTACACAGCCTCCTCCCTTCTGCTCCTTCTTTGTTTCAGCTGCTAAATATTTCCCGAAGGGGTTCACACCAGCCCTAGCCAAGGCATGCTCACTCAGAAGCCAGTTGTGAACCTGGAAAGTGAAAAAGAGATGATTTCCTGCTCCTTCTCTCTCTCTCTCTCTCTCTCTCTGTCTCTGTCTCTCTCTCTGTCCCTCCCCCACCCGTGTGTGCATGCTTGTGTGTGTGTGTCTTTGTCTATGTTTGTCTCTCTCTCTCACACACACACATGTATGTATATGTACCGAATCTTATGGTAGCTCATACTTAAAATGGACTTGCCCTCAAGAAGTTTCAATTTCTAAATTATTTTATTATTTTAAATTTTTTCAAAGATTTTTTTTTTAATTTAAGTGTATTGTACGGTGGCGGCGGCGGTGGTGGTGGCGGCGGTGGTGTGTGTGTGTGCGCGCGTGCACAGGTGTGTACAGAGCCTGAGGTATCAGCTACCCCTGCACTGGAGTTACAGGCATCAGCGGTCCACCTAACATGATGCTAGAAATGGAACTTGGGTCTCAGCAAGAGGAGCATACACTCTTAAGTACTGAGCAATCTCTCACCCTGCCCCTGAACTTCTTCATTCTTTATTACAAAGTCTAAGACACTTGGTTGGGCTTCTCTTTTGCATTTTTAATCTTTATAATTGGTATTTGGTAGAGCCAAGGAAATATATGAGACCTGAATTCGGATATTTCTATCGGTATTATTTTATAGACCCACGTGTACTAGCTATTTGTAATATGATAACTGTTAAGTTATAATTGGTCATTCTAAGTTTAATAGTCCTATTTCCGCAGCCTTACAAGCTTGGTCACTCAAAGAGCAGGTGTTTACCTGCTTGCTGGAGATTCCAGGAATGAGAGACGACTTTAACACACAGTCTGAGATGAACTCACACTTTAAGAAGGCAAACAGAGGAAACGATGCTCACAATCATGTGGAAGGAGCCCAGTATAGGTGCCATATGTATATAGATATGGGAAACAGGGAGACCTCCATTTCTACTTCAGTACTAGGAAGAAGATGTGGCTTTAATATTGCATTTGAAGAAATGAGGGCCGCTCTGGAAATGAGGCCAAAGTGTATTCTGGATATTATGTGAGACTTTCAAGATTATGAGTCTCATGGGACTTTAGAACAAGATGCATTAAGGAAGTGGTGGGAGGTGGGATGGAAGCTGAGACTGTAGCCAGATAGGAGAGGATTCAGGTTATTTGTGTGGATTCCTGTTGTCCTTAAAGGCTTGGCAGAAGCATTTGACTGTTCAGAGGCTAAGACAAAGTCAGGCAGCCTGGGTCATGTGTTAGAGTGGGAAGACATTGGAGACTGAAAAGCCACAGAAGTTCAAGGTTGGATTTAGAGTTCTAGGAGATAATGAAGCTGATGGAATAGAGAAGAGTAGATAGCATTTTTGTTTGTTTTGTTTTCATTAATAAATGATTCACTCAGATAATTTTGTGTACAATTTGAATATCCTTAAAACTAGTACAGCTAGAAATGTTTATGTAAATGCCACAGTAGTGCCAAGTGAAATAGGAAATGACTGGGAGGAGTAAATAGGAGGAGTTGGGTCTGAAAGTGATAAAAACACTTTGTACAAAATTCCCAACAAGTTAATAAGAATATCTTAAGTACAGTTTTGAAAGAGACTTGGGAAATGTAATGGGTACATTTGATCATTAACTTGACAGTGAATGAGCAAAACAGAAGGAAGATTCTATATCTCTGTCCTAGAGAGCTAATGGATGGAGTGGCACTGATATTAGCCTTAGCTAGAGAAGGAAAAATATGTTCAGAAGGTGATGTAAAAGGAAGAGAAAATAGACCTCATTTATAAACACTTACTTGAGGGTCCTTACAGATCATGGTAAATAATTGTAGCCCAGAAGAGATTTGTGCCGAAGTTGTGAATATCGGAATCAGCAACCTGTAAGTAGCAGCTGCAGTCACAGATGATGGATACCATGGCATCTAAATGTGTATTGTCAACGGTTCCTTTAAAATCACGTGTAAACTTTTCAAGAAGCAAAATTATGGTAGCCACCATGTTGTTTACTATCTTCTAATCCCTCATAGAACACAAAATAAAAATAAGACATTAGGATTGCCAAGAAAAAGGGACACAGGTAATTTTTACATGTGACACAAGGGGCAAGGAAGGGCCAAACCAGTAAAATAGCAGAGACTACAAACTCAGCCACTAGATGGTGACAAGGAAGAGAAGTTGTAGGGCCATTGAACACGCAGACCAACAGCACGTACTCAGACAAAGAAATGATCCTACTCTGATTGGAAACCCAAGTGGAGACCAATCAGTAAAGCCAAGATGAGGATGCAAATGAAGAATGACCACACAGGCCTCCCACAGACCTTCAGAGATTGTGCTAGAAATTCACATCTGGAAGGAGGGTGACATGGGATGCTGGGAAAGAAGATGTTCATTTCCTTGGGAGCATCCAGAGAAGACAAACCTCAAAACTTTGGCTAAACTGTGGACTACATTTTAACACCAGAGACCAGAAGGAGTCTTCACCGTGAAGACAATAAACATTCTGAAATACTCTCCCAGCTCACAAGGCTATTCTCTAACAGCACGGAGAGCTGACTGTTAATGTAAATGAGAGCATCACACAACTGCAAAAAAGATCGCTACAAGGTAATAGTGGCACACCAGCGTAACAAAATTTTTGATCGTGAAGCACATGAAAATATAACTTAATGCTACAAAATGAACTGAAAGAAACTAAAAAAATAAACTACAGAAATAAATTAAAATATGAATTCTGATGGAGGAGATACATAGAAATAGAGTGATGTAGAAGAATAGCAATCAGACTTCAGGAGAGAAAGAGACATCTAAGGGTGAGTTTCTTTCAAAATGTATACTAACTAGAAAGAACTCAGGAATGACTCGACATAAATAGTGTAGTTAAAGATATGTGTAAAGAATCAAACAGAATAGAATCCAAGTGAGAATGATAGCTACGAGCTATGAAAAGTAAAGAGAAAATAATCTAGTGAATATGAAGCACCGAGAAAGAAAATCACCTAATAACAGGATGGAACAGAATAAGAGACTAAAATTGCTACATTGAAAGAATACGCCCTACACTTGGGAAACCTGGATATAATGAAAAAAAAAAACTGAAAGTATTCACTATTAAGACACATCTTACTAAAATGATTACGTTTTAAAAATAAAGATGTGTTTTTTGAACCTGGACAAGAGGATCAAGTTGCTTGTTAGAGAAAGAAGATCATACTGGCATCAGACACACAGCAATACTACTTTATCCTGGAAGAGAATAGAGTAACATATTAAGATACCGAAGAAACAAAAAATTTGAGTGAAAGATTTTACACCCTGCCCAACTGACCTTCAAATTGAAAGGCCTTAGACAAACATTTACAGAGATACAAGAACCCAGGGCATGTCATTACTGCACCATCTTCCTGGGAAATCTGCTAGATATCTTCAGTGAAATCGTAGAAGTTTCAGCACAAGATTGAGGCCCTGACTGTGATAATTGAGGACACAGATTATGTCACCTCTCTCACAGTCCTGGACGTTCTGTAAGTATTTTATTCAGAAAGGGGACTTACAAATGATTGTACCGTACACCATTGGGGCTGGGAGAAACATCAAACATACCTCCATAATTAAAAAGAAATATTCCATGGTTGTTTTACTACCATGTTATGTAAACAAAATTGGTTCAGTGATAATTAATAAAAACTGGTCCGTTTATTATATGGAAATTTTAGGTGTTTATTTTCTGTTAAACATGACAGTAAGGGCGTCTAAAAAATTCATCCCTCTCTTTTGGAATTCAACAACAACACCAAACCACAAAGAAAATAAGTAGGAGAGAAATTCTGTCATCAATGAACGAAAATAACGGCTGCAATTCCAAACCATAAGTTATAAAACACACCTGCCAAACGCCATAAAATTTGGGGTCAAAGTGAGAAGCAAAGTTGAATGATGACAAATATTTCCTTGGATACCAAGAGGGATACAGACTTCCACAAGAATAAGTGTGGCTGAGCTCAAAGGCCTGTTCAAAGTTCCTTAGTTACAGAGATGGATTGAGAACCGTGTGCCCCCCCTGTGAGAGCAGCAGAGACTGTCCCTGCAGAACTGTGGGAGAGCGAGAGCGGGAGGAGAAACCACACTTATATGCCTCCTTGTGGAGAACAGATGTCAAAGATGAAATGCTGTGAAGGGGAAAATGGAAGCAGCAATAACTGACTTGTAACAGCATTCTGTAATTTAAAACCTCCTTTCCTCAACAACCATTAAAATGCTGTCAACCCCAACGGAGCCATAGTAAAGGAAATAAACCATTTGATGATAGGGTCGTGATGACAAGCCATGGGAAGTGTGTCAGCTCATCCTCCACGTGTTCTGTTCACCAGCAGAGAGACACTTTCAGAGATGAAATTTTTGCATGGCAACTAGCACGAAAGCTTGAAGTAGAAAGACTCAGGGTGCAGGCAGAGCGAGAGTCACAAAGCAACCGCGTAAGGTATTTCCCTGAGAAAACTGAAAGCAGGTTCTGGGTTCCCAAAGGTCTAGGGGGAAAAGGGCTTAAAAGCAAGGTCTGAGATTTTATGGTGATTAGAAGAGAGCAGAAATAGATGGAAAGACAATGGGAACAGGTGAAGAGAGGAGGCCAAAAATAAAACCTATTTTGAAAATTTTTCATAACTTCTTTTTTATTTAAAAATTTTTATGTCTTTTGCTCATATTATTTCCCTCCCCCTTTTCCCATTTCTTCCCCAATCTTACCTCCCTACCCACCTGACTTCATTCTCTCTCTCTCTGCCCTCCAAAAATAAAAATAAAAAAAAACAAACTAAAAAAAATAATAAGTTCACAAAAACCCAGAGAGTTCATTTTGTGTGTGCTGTCTAATACATCTGTGAAAGAAATGTAAGTCGA